CCCATGCCTCTTAAGTGAGATGGGCGCACAACCCCAGAGTCTGTCAAGACTGGCCCGTACGGGCAGGAGTACCTTTACCTTTACCTTAATAATACACACGGTTGCAGTTCACAGTACATGTGCCACTTGCGTATTTTGTGTTCAGGTGTTCACATCTAAATACAAAAAGGCCCATAGAAACTGGCCTTAGCATGTTTGGATTAGGCTCTTGAGGCAAAATAATTTCAGACCTTGCATTCACCCTCATTGTTTCTCACACTGGAGAAAGGAGGGCTACAGCTGGGATAGCAATATTCTTAGATACCCATTTAAAATCTCCAGAAGTGGTGTGTATATCATGTGTGTTCTCATCCTCCTCTCATGCAACCCATTAAAAGCACAGGTTTTGCTGGCCAGTGTTTGAAAATAGGTGCAAATGTTATACAATATGCAACTCTGTTTCAGAACAACAACAACAATAAAAACCCCAAGTGAACTATTTATCCGTTTTTCAAGTTTCATCATCCTTGGGTGGATCTTGGAGACAACAGTACACCTTCTTAGAGGGAAGAAGAAAAATTACACGACAGAGTCCTTTCTGGACAGTGTCATTTGAGACTGTAGGTCTGATGAGATGGAGGGGAGGATTACATTTTACATTTTTAAAAAAATAATGAAAAACAAACCGTCATGTAGAAAACTAGTACATCAGGGTGGGTAGGAGTGTTCTAACCTACATTCGCCCTTATATACTAGTTTACTAGTTGAAGGGGGGCTTTTTTTTTCCATGAGTGAGCATTCAAGATTGTGACGTACACCTGGAATCTAAAGTACTACAATTCCAGAAGAACTCCATCTCATGATTTTTCTACATGCACAGAGTAGCCCTTGGTGGATAATGCCAATATTAGGAATGAAATGCCCCTTTTTCAGGTTCCTGAAAACAAACACCTTCATTCAGGCCTTCAAATAAGCACATTTATTTATAAATACAATGCAATCCTAAACATGCCTACTCATCAGTAAGTCCCATTGAGTTCAACAGCACCAGCTGCCAGGAAAATGGGCATAGGATTGCAGCTTTAGTCAACTAACAAGTTAATTAACAGATAGCTAATTGATTAAGACATCATATGTAAGCTATAGAAATGTCACAATAAATATCAGCACACTTGGCAGCAGAGAAAGAAGCTCACTGCTATTACGGAGGCATTTTGCCAAGATGGGATGGAGAAAGCATTCGCCACCTGTTGGGTACCTGCAGGATGCTCTGGATCTGTGGGAAGTTGAGGACCTGCTTAATGATTTAGAAAGCGATCAGTCTGACACCTATGGGCTACCATCCAGCAACTAGTCCAGGTCACTTCAGACATTATATTGCCAAATTCCTACACTGAAAGCATTTCTATGTAAGAATTAATGGAACACTTTTTGCCTTCTCAGTAGTGGCGCCTGCCCTGTGGAACGTCCTCCCAGCAGATGTCAAGGCAATAAACAACTATTTTACTTTTAAAAGACAACTGAAGGCGGCCCTGTTTAGGGCAGTTTTTAATGTCTGATACTGTATTGTTTTTAATATTTGGTTGGAAGCCTCCCAGAGTGGCTGGGGAAACCCAGCCAGATGGGCGGGGTATACATAAATTATTATTATTATTAATAATCATAAGACGTTGCAATCTCAAGTGAAATGAAATGTAGATGAATAACAAAGTTTATAATATTGGATAAGTTGTTTCACTCTGTAGTAAAGGGCGGTGGCAGCTGTTCACATATAATGAGAAAGAACTTTTTAGGCTTCCTTTGACATTGACTCTGCCCTAGTTTCTCTTTGATACAACATTGAAAACAAACATCTCTGCCAAAAACATTAATAGTAAAAACAATGGAAAGTAAACATTGAAGGGCTTATACACTTTTAAGCCAACATGAAAAATGCTCCAATATTAGCAAGAGTTAAATCCTGAAGGGAAGAAAAGTACCGTATTTTTCGTCCTATAGGGCGCACCGGCCTATAGGACGCACCTCGTTTTTTTGGGGGGGGGGAATGAATAAAAAATATTTATTTTTCCCCCCCAGCCGCGGCTGCCGCCCCAAGCCTTGGGGTCACCTGTCGGAAGCACGGGGAGCCCTCCGGAGGGCTCCCCGTGCGTCAGGCGTCAGGCTGCCGCCTCAAACCTCGTGCACCCGGCGGGACCTCCCGCCGGGCGCGCAAGGCTTGCGGACACCCGCCCAAAGCACGGGGAGCCCTCCGGAGGGCTCCCCGTGCTTCGGGCGGCAGGCTGCCACCCAAAGCCTCGCGCGCCTGGCGGGACCTCCCGCGGGACGCGCAAGGCTTGCGGACACCCGCCCAAAGCACGAGGGCTCCCCGTGCTTTGGGCTGCAGGCTGCTGCCCGCAAGCCTTGTGAGCCCGCGGGAACTTGCGGGGCTTGCGGATAGCTTCCTGAAGCCTGGAGAGCAAGAGGGGTCAGTGCACACCGATGCCTCTCGCTCTCCAGGCTTCAGCGAAAGCCTGCCTTCGCCCCATAGGACGCACACACATTTCCCCTTCATTTTTGGAGGGGGAAAAGTGCGTCCTATGGGGCGAAAAATACGGTAATCTAGCACATGTGATGTTGCATTTTCTCTACAAATATGTACCCTTGTAATTCTGGGACCAAAACTGACATCAAAATGAGATTCGTGAGAGAAAATAACTTTTTCAGGCACACTGTATATCCCTCTGTTCAGAAGAATATTTAATCCACTTGGATCATGTGCTTGGGTTTTCTTAGATCATGCTGAGATAACAACATTCTGCTGTGTCTTGGCACCATAAAACCTCTTGCTTATGAAAATAAAAGAAAAATATAGTCTCGCAGGGAGAATATGTGTTTGAATTTACTTTTTCTATAGTTTAAATATTGAACTCTCAAAAACAATTTTTACACAAATATGCCTCATTCTCTTTATGAGTCATGGCCAAAACTCTCTTACACCAATATTTTAAACATGCCAAGTGTACGTATACCCTGGCCTACAACATGATGATCCAGTCACAGGCCTGGATCCAACTTTAGCTGGTGTTGAAAAACTGCCAGCACAAAACAGAAAGGCAAAACCCTACCAGCACTGCCACCTAATGGCAGAAAATTAATCCTGCAGCTAAAATCATTCAGAAATAAAATTGCTTAACTGTGTATTGTGCTCTGAAAGTCATTCCAACTGGCCATTACAATAACTATGTAACCAGGAACAATGCCCAAGCTTGCTTTTTTTCCTCCTTCCATTTTCCTTTTGTGTTGCGCCTTTTAGCTTTAGATTTCAAATCCCTCCTCAAGAGCCAACTTTTCTATGAAGCATTTCTCAAAAGCCCTTTACAGTGGTACCTTAGTTTACGAACTTAATCCATTCTGGAAGTCCATTCTTAAACCAAAGCGTTTTTCAACCAAGCTGTGCTTTCCCATAGCAGCGGGGGACTCAATTTACAAATGGAACACACTCAACAGGAAGCGAAACATGTTCTGCTTCCAAGGCAAAGTTCACAAACCAAAACACCTACTTCCAGGTTTGCAGCATTCTTAATCCAAGTTGTTCATAAACTAAGCTGTTCTTAAACCAAGGTACCACTGTAATTACCGTATTTATTAGATGTGTGTTGCAACACTTGTGTTCAAGGCAGTTAACTGTAAAATATGGAATAAAATACAAAACCATACTCAAACAGGTAGATAAAACACAAGCACAATCAATAAATAGGACAGGTGACTGAATGAACTGCTACAATTTACAGTGGCCAAGACAGACAGACCCATGCTCTACGAAATGAATGCACATCCTCTCGTTTTCCCCCTGCCTACATTTCCCTTTCCCTTCTTCTGGTATCTCCAGTGTCAATTTTTAGATGGTGCGTATCTTCAGGCAGGGTTCTGTAAAGCGCCATGTGCATGCATAGCCCTATAAAGCAATAATGGCCACAATGACATTAATAGCCAGTCCTTTGACACTTCAGAAACAACTTTTATAAGTTCTTTAAAAAACAAAACTGTAGTCTAAAACCCCTGGAGGGCATGAGGCTGGGGACGGCTGGTTTAGGAGCTTGCCAAATATTGCCTGTATGTTTTAAATTGTTTTTAATATTGTTTTAAAAGTTGTAACTTGCCCTGGGACCTTACAGCGAAGGGCAGGTAATAAATAAATGAACTCTCGAACCCTATGTAGAAGTTTGCTAATCTGTTTCCTCGTGAAAATTGTACTGGCTATTCCTCAACTACCGCAAGTAGCTGTTCATGACCAGCTCCATATATATATATATATATATATATATATATATATATATATTTAATTAATTATCAATAAGTGACAAAGAAAAAAGAATGAAAAGAAAACCAATATTGTACAAGCATAGTGAACTGCGCCTGAAAGACATAAAGATTGCGCCCGCCCCCCAATTATAAATATGAACATGAACTCTGAAAGCTGACTCGCTGGAAAACGAAGGCTAAGGTTTTGCCAACATTAACAATTAATGCACGTATAATAGGGAATTCCCAACACACAAAACAACTGCAGGACTAATTGTTCAAAGAATGGCAAGTCAAATTAAATATAAATGCTGGCTTGCCCACCCTAAGAAATTAAGTCAGGTAATGCAATGCCAGTTAACTCCTACCAAAGTACTAGTAAGAAATAGAGGAGGGCAAGGACTGCTTACGGTGCTATTAAGAGGCATTCCATGAACTTGATACAATTTACCTTAAGAGGATGCTGTGGATCCATGGCACACTCTTTTCTGTCTAAATGCACAGATGCAGAATCAGGGGGCAATTAGCATGACTGTATTGGTAAGGTTCAGTCGGCATATTCAGAAATTGTGTTTTGAAAAAAAGAAACCAAAAACACCACCATAAATGAATACAAAAAAAACAAGAGAGGGCTGGCATGTACACATTACTGAAAGTCACATTTTCAAAGTAATTCAACAGCAAGCAGACACAAGCGTTGTTCCCAAGATGATATATAAAGTAAATATCCGTTGGCATACCATCCAAAATAATGTTCCTGTGGCAAGAGCTGCATACTGATCAATCGTGGAAAGCACACTGAATATAAGGCAGACCAGCACTATGAGGAAACTGGGGAAAAAAGAAACAAGAAAAATTAAAATCACTAAAGTATTTCATTAGAAAGCTAGTACTTAAGGCAAAAAAAACTAAACAGCAAGCACATTTTTGTAAAAAGGTTATCCATACTCCAATATTGAATTGTCCATGAAAAGGGAGAGAATGGGAAAGAGGTCTGTAGTTGTTCATTTGTTGCAGGGGAGAAAATAAGAGTTTGGAGAGGAGTACAGTGGTACCTCGGGTTAAGTACTTAATTCGTTCCAGAGGTCCATACTTAACCTGAAACTGTTCTTAACCTGAAGCACCACATTAGCTAATGGGGCCTCCTGCTGCTGTCGCGCTGCCGGAGCACGATTTCTGTTCTCATCCTGAAGCAGAGTTCTTAACCTGAAGCACTATTTCTGGGTTAGCAGAGTCTGTAACCTGAAGCGTATGTAACCCGAGGTACCACTGTAGAGGCCTGATGCTAACACCATGGCTACTTTTGTTGAACTAGAGAGCAGTGCAGAGTTTGGACAGAATCTCATAATCCATAAGAAATACGTTGATGCTATGTCAAAGCCTGACCTACAATTTTTCTTTTTCTTTTTCCTCTTCCAAGAGAGAAACTTCCATTTTCCTGCCTCACTCAGGGCAGGGCACTTGAAATTTTCTTCAGAATTTCTGTAGATTTTGAGCTCACCTTACTGTTGCCAGACTGAAGAAATGTTTCCCCACCCCTGCTGTAAACAGTTTTGTAGCAGCCCGCAGCCGACCTACACTTCCTGATCTGAAAAACCTCTATGGGAGGAGTAACTTCCTGGTGCTTTCATCCTGGTCCTGGGCTTAGCAGCAAGGCTGCAGAGTGCAGAGCCCTGGTGAGATGGTTTGTGGTATGAAAGAAAGGACACTGACAAACACACCTCAGCCACCTCACAAAAGTAAGGTAAGTGCAACAGAAAAACCTATCCACCCCGGCCATGAGAATTTCATATTGGCTTTCTACCAAACTGAAGGAAAGAGCAGGAACTCGGGACCATGTAACCTTGGGTTACAGATGCTTCAGGTTACAGACGCTTCAGGTTACAGACTCCGCTAACCCGGAAGTAGTACCTCGGGTTAAGAATTTTCTTCAGGATGAGAACAGAAATCATGCTCCGGTGGCGCGGCAGCAGCGGGAGGCCCCATTTGCTAAAGTGGTAGCTCAGGTTAAGAACAGTTTCAGGTTGAGAACGGACCTCCAGAACAAATTAAGCTCTTAACCCGAGGTACCACTGTATTAAGCTTTTCAACAGCAGTCGTAAGACTTTAAAACGTTAAAAATGATTCCATGTACTGGTATTTTGTTTTCATCAATGTCCACACAAGTACAAATTCATCTTGCAGCACTTCTCCCACCCGACCCTGGCAAACCCTTTGCATATCTGCACACACAGGCTGTGCAGTTGCAGCATTTGACATGCTATTGCCAATTCAACCAGCTGCAACAGCTCCTCTCTGGGAGCCATAAGCCCACCACACATTGGGCCAACATGGAGCTACTGTGTCTGCTCATCAGACACAGCTGCATGACCGACCATATAGCAAACAGCCATGGTTGTGGGCTGCTACCTGTGCAATGTAAAAACAGAAAATCCCACAATTTCATGCAGTAGCTTTGTGGTAAATCAAGACTTAGCATTTAAATAGTCATCACATTCAATCAGTGTGTGCTCATTATGCCCCAATTCTGCCATCTTTCTGCTATTATTTGTGCCGAATAAAAGAATTACTGTGCATGTCAAACAGTAGATATCCTTTCCCCCCCAATTCTGAACTGGATTTCCTGAAACGGCTCTGAACAATGCAATAATATTTGTACTTTTTAAGAAAACAAGGCGCACAAACAGGATACTTGTGCATGTGTGTTTGTGTGTGTGTGCCAGGATAAAGCTGAAATTATTAATTTGAAATATGCAGCCCCCATATTCCCATATTAATTGTTTAATTGTATAACCTCAACTATTTGACAGAAATATTTCCCCCAAAGCCATCTCCCGCAGAGAACAATTGTTTTATAGATACATGTTTGCATAATTGGTGTCCACACAGTGGCGTAGCGTGGGGGGTGCCAGGGGTGCCGGCCTCACCGGGCGCAACATTTTGGGGGGCGCGTTTGGCCGGCCCCCCTCGAGGAAGCGGGAACCTCTCCAAGGCACAGCGTGCCGTCGGTAGAGGAAAAAAGCCGCGCAGCAGCAGCAGCAAAGTCGGGAGGAGGAGGAGGTGGAGCGAGCCTGCTAATTCCTTGCTGGGAATTAAGCGGCTCAAGACTCTCTCCACTGGCCGCCTGGGTAGTGAGCCGAGCCGAGCAGGGAGTCTGGCGAGGGGGCGGGAAGAGACTTTCCCCCCTTTTTTCCACCTCGCCTGGTCAAAAAGGAGAGCGGAGTCTCCTCAGGGCGCCCTCAGGCAGGGCAGGGAAAGGCAAGCAGAGCGAGGAGGAGAGGGGGGGGGAGCAGCCAGGAAACGCCGCGGTGTGGAGGAGGAATCAATTTAGGAGAGAAAGCGAAAAGCCTTGGAGAAAGGGAAAAAAGGAAAGAAAAGAGGCAGCTCCAGGAGAGCGCGGGGGAAAGAGAAGCCTCGCTGCTGCTGCTGCTTGGGAGAGTAAATTACTGTACTTGCCTTGCCCCGGGTTAGGGGGCGCAAATTACTTGCCTTGCCCCGGGTTAGGGGGCGCAAATTACTTGCCTTGCCCCGGGTGCTGATAACCCACGCTACGCCGCTGTGTCCACATTGTTAGATGTCCTTCTGCATGCAATAGTGTCTTCTACTTACGAAAGGACTGTTTTACACTTTTTGCTAGAGTGCTCAATATGAAAGTGAAACTAAAACTAGAAATATTCTTCCATTTCCATAAGTTTGTAAAAACTATTGCAAAATGGAAGCATGAGGACAGCAATGGAACGTACATATTTCAGCACTACATGAACTCTTGCACAAGTTTGCATTTACAAAAAAAAAGCAGTAGCAGCTCTTTTCCTTCTTCTAATGGCTTTTTGGATCCTGTTTAATGTGCATTAATTTTAAAGATTTCTAAACAAAGAGGACATTGATTTGCTTAAAAGTGCAAACATGCATACATGTTACAATACTTAATAAAACAAAAATGAAGGTGCATAGAAAGCAACATTTATGGATCATAGCACAAATAAAATGGGCAGCATCAAAAATGGTTTCACATCAAGGTAAAACCACATCTCAAATATCTGAATTTGGTTGTTGCTCCCCCCCCCCCCAAGAAAGTGGGCTGTGAAGACCCCTTATGAATTCAACAGCTGATATAGCAGCTATTAACTGTTGAGCCAAGTAGGAAACTGACCACCAGATGGCAACATCTCAAAGCCTATGACAACTTTCTTTATCAATCAAAATAATACAGAAACACAATTTTTTTGGCCAGTTGACACATTTCTAATGGCCATCTACTCCAGCCCCAGGTAAGAAAGATCCAGTAACTATGATAACCTAATGGAAACAAATTATCCTGCATTGCTTCCAAAAGGAGAGTCCAGATCTTAATTTTTCTATCACCCAATTGACATTTGGTGACCAATAATTTAGATATCTAAGAATGATGTTTTCCCAGAATTACAAAATAAATCTGCAGCACATAATTTAAATGAACAGCCACATATCTATGGGCCAATTCCAATATCACACCAAGCATTCTGATGTTAAAGAAGGTTTGGGAAAGAAGCCGTTTATATCATGTGCATCATGTTTTTACAACTTAGTTTCAAAACCTTCTTTATAAACAGAGGCAACTGAAGTACACAAATGCTTAAAAAGTTGTAATCTGTTTATCTTATGGACAAGAGCTACAAGTCAGAGGATTCACTTACAGCAGCCTTCAGCTGCAGTACCCAGAACATACAATGAATTGTTTTGCATGTCTTCTGGATGCATATTGCAATTTTGTTTAGCTACATATAATTATGCATTTTATATCTATAAAAATATGTCTGTTCAATGAGACACTTTCTCATGTATATCTGTTGTAAAATTAGAAATTGATTGGCATTTTTAAAATACTTGCAGCACCCTGCAACCTGCTCTGCGTGTAAAGTGCCAGAATGTATATTACTTGTGTGATACATACTTTTTGATCAATCGGGCTCAACTATCTATCCTTCCCATAAACTTTAAAATGTCTAGCATATCCCACTTTGCTAGTGCATTTATCATTCTTCCCTATTTTACATAGCAACACATACACCTCATCTGGGGTCCATTTCAGTAGTTCCCAAAACATCTGCATACAGAATTGCCCAGAAAGACTGCTTCATGATTAGCTTTTGCATGATTTATAAAACCTAACGATCTAACTGTTGCTGGTTAATTTCCTAAAACAGTTCCAAATGTTGCCTTTAAAGACCAAACATGGTCAGAGATCAAGGTATCTGTAGGAATTCCTGTTCCCACATCAATTTGCCTGTGTGTAGGAAGGGTTTTATATGTCAATACCATAAACTTAAACATGCCCCAGTAGTATATTAGTAGCCAGTGTAATTGCTTAAAAAAGTGTCACATGCTGGTGACATGTCACTCCACAAAGCAGCTTAGCAGCCACATTTTGTACCAGCTACAGCTTCCAGACCAATATTAAGGGAAGCCCCACAGAGAATGTATTGCAGAGGTTGAGCCTTAAGGTTATCTACTGTGATCAGGTTATCCAGGTCCAGGAAAAGTCATACCTGGTGTACCAGCCAAAGCTGGCTTAAAGGTGCTCCTAGCCAGCAAGGACACTTGGCCCTCCGAGGGCAACAGTGGACCAAGGAACACCCCAAGATATGTTACCTGATCCTTCAAAGGGAGTGTAGCCCTCTACAGAACAGGGCATTTACTAGATTCCCTGACTTAAGAAGCACTCACGTGGAAGGCTTCCATCTCGCTGGGATTCAGCTTCTGTTCATTAGGCTTCATTCAGTCCATTACTGTGTCCAGGCATTGGCTCAGCACACGTATAAACACAAGCAACATATTTTAGAGCTGCCCAG